TAACTTCAGTAGGGAAATTCTGGCTAAGAAAGATGGAAGATTTTGTGTAATTAATTCTTTGCCCCGATGCATGACAATAGTTCTCCAAAATGTTCATAAGAATCCTGAAGTTCTGTTCGTTTGATGACAAAGAGAGAGTCATCGGCAAACAATAAGTGGGAAATAATTGGTCTGCTACAACTAATCTTGACTCCCTGCAATAAACCACAATTAATAGTACAACCAATGTTTTGGGACAATACTTCACTCATAAGAAGGAATAGGTAAGGTGATAGAGGGTCCTCTTGCCTAAGACTTCTTGTAAGAACAAAATAATTCCTTGGTTTCCTATTGATCACCACCAAGAAAGAGAGATAGTAGTCACATAGCCCATGACTAACCGAATCCACGCCCCATTAAAACCCATCCTCACCATCGTTTCCTCCAAAAAAATCCCACTCGACCCGGTCATACGCTTTGTGCATCTCAAGTTTAAGGCCCGGTTCATGTTTTCCTCCCTTCCTCTTCAACTTGAGGTAATGAAAGACCTCATAGGCTATTAACAAATTATCTTGTATTTGACGATTAGGGACAAAGGCATTTTGGTGATAAGACACAAGATCAGGGTGGATGGTTTTCAATCTGTTGGAAAGTATCTTAGATAGAATCTTGTAAGAGTTATTGCAAAGGCTAATGGGGCGATACTGGCTAGTATTTTCAGGATTGGGAACTTTGGGAATAAAGGCAATATGTGTTTTATTAATATGGTTCAACATGATAGAACCCCTGGAGAAATCAACCGTTGTCTAACAATGGTGTCATTAATAGTTTCCCAAAGATAAAAAAGCCCTGGAAAGTTGTCCGGTCCATGAGCCTTCAAAGAACCCAGCTAAAAAGCTGGTCCTTTAACTTCTTCGTATGTAATAGGAGAACACAAAATCTGATTCATGTTGTTTGTTATGAGTGGTTGAATGCAATCAAAGACTAGACCCCAATCTTTAGAACCATTTGAAGAATAAAGACTTATAAAATGCTTCAAAGGTATCCCTAATTACAACATCGTTCTCTGCCCATACCTCTTCGTCACTAGCAATGTGAGTGATTTGGTTCTGACTTCTTCTTTGTTTTATTGAAAGGTGAAAGAAACGAGTATTTGCATTGTCTTCCTTCAGCCATTGAATTCAGGAGCGTTGTTTCCAATATGTCTCCTCACGAGTCCAAATATCAGACAAATGAGCATTAATTTTGTTGATGCACAAAACCGGTAGGGTCTTGGAACAACGTAAATCCGACCGTGAATCTGCAAGTAATGTAAATAACACAAGATGTATCGTGGTTCACTCCAATGTTTGGGCTACATCCACACTGATATTGTATTTCTCTGTTTGTTAGAGGATGAGAGGGTGAGAGCCTCTGAAGGTGAGAGTGAGGCTTTCCATGGCCTAAGAATTGGCCTCCCCTAATGAGGAGAGTGAGGAGTCATTTTATAGAATAAGGGCTCCTCACTTATTACATATTTGCCCCTTCATTTATTACATAAATACATTTGAGTCCCCCGAGTGTTTATACGAGATCTAAATACGGAGGCCCTAAGTATGGTACAAACAGTAGTCCCCAAAGTCTTCAGTCAAGAGAGTCTTTTGGCTGTAGACTTGAAATTCAGTCCATGTGTGGGTCAAAGTAACTAGATGTCGTCTAGAACTGATACTCGATATGAGGCGATGCCCAATCTGAAATGATGCTCAACTAGAAGTAGCACATGTTGCGAGGCTACTCTGCTTGTGGCTTATGTTGCCTTGGTTGGCTCGGCTTGTGGCGTTGAAGGTGAAGGAGTCCCTTTTATAGAATAAGGGCTCGTTCCTCAATACATAAATGAAATGATAGAGTCGATGCGCTCGCGGTGAGGCGGTTGCTCAGCAGGCGGCGATATTCTCTAATGATAGTGAGGAAATCCCTTTTATAGAATAAGGGCTCGCTCCTCAATACATAAGTGATGGGTTAGGAGTGATGTTCGCGGTGAGGCGGTTGCTCAGCAGGCGGTGATGCTCTCTCTAATGAAGGTGAGGGAGTCCCTTTTATAAAATAAGGGCTCGCTCCTCAATACATAAATAATGGGCTAAGTCCCCCAAGTATTTTTCATGAGGCCTAGTTGAGGCCCAATATATGGTACATAATAATGTAGTCCCCCAAGTCTTCGGTGAATAGAGTTTGTTGGCTGAAGACTTCAAATTGAATCCATGTATGGGCTGAAGTGGCGGTTGTTCGGAGGCAGTATTTATACACCCTGCACTGAAGCTTTATAGGTGAAGCTTTGAAGCTGGAGCTTTTGTAAATGAAACTTTTGAAGCTGGAGCTCTGTAAATGAAGCTTTTGAAACTAGATTGACATGAGTGATGCTCATGAATGTTTATGTTAATTGACATGAGTGATGCTCATGGATGTTGACATGAGTGATGCTCATGAATGTTGACATGAATGATGGTCATGAATGTTTATGTATGATTGTCATGAGTGATGCTCATGTATAATTTTGGAGTACTAGATGTACTTTTGATCACCTGGTTGGTGATAATAGAGGCAGGTTGCCGAATAATTTTAGAGTACTGGGCGTACTTTTGATCACCTAGTTAGTGATAATAGCGGCAGGTTGCCGAATAATTTTGGAGTACTAAACGTACTTTTGATCACCTGGTTGGTGATAATAGAAGGCCTGGCTCTTTTGGGCATATGGGCCTTCGCCCTCCCCATAACATTCCAGCCCATTATTTTGGGCTTGCCTTTTTTTTTAATTACCCTCTGATGGGGTTATACAGATATCTCCGAAAGATATGAAAAATAAATTACATCATTCAAAAATAAATCCAACCCTTTGCTCAATCGGTTATGCCTATAATTCCCTCTTCTGCATGCCATCACCACCGCAATTATGTCTGCTTCTTTTTATCTTCTTTTGCTTTCTGCTTTTTCTTTTTCTTTTCCCTTTTGTAGATGGCAAACAAGGAATGATTAATAGAATGAATAATAAGAAGAAAAAAAATCTTATCTCTGCTTTTGCTTTTCCCCATCTTGAGATGATGGGCCACGAAGGCTGGTAGCTGTCATCGTCATTATTTTGGTCATGGAGAAGATATAATAATAAAAGTATTTGGTGGTCGGTTAAAAGCCATGATCAAAAGAAGTGTTGAACGGAAAAGACATCTTCAACTATTTACGCAGAACCCCCAAAGATATCTTAAGGTGCTCTCACCTTTAAGCTACTACACGTTTAATAGCTGCATAAATGCATATACACTGGCCACTCTTACACCAACGACCATTGAATTTGTTTATACCATATTTAGGGCCTCGTATTTAGATCTCGAACAAATACTCTGGGGAATTAAATGTAATTATGTAATCAAGGAAGGGGCAAATATGTAATAAGTGAGGAGTCCTTATTCTATAAAAGGACCCATCACCTTCACAATTGGAAAGAGGCCATTTCTTAAGCCCTCCTCATCCTCTCAAAGCTCTCACTCTCTCATTTAGAGCTCTCTCTCCCTCAGAAATATAATCAGCGTGGACGTAGCCCAAACCTTGGGGTGAACCACGATACATCTTGTGTTATTTACATTTCTTGCAGATTCACGGTCGGATTTACGTTGTTCCAAAACCTCCGGTTTTGTGCATCAACATTTGGCATCCTCTGTGGGAAACGACACTAAAAGCTGTGTCAGTTCTCTTTCATTTTTTCACTTCAACCGTGAATATGTAAAAACCTAAGATCCAAAGCCAAACCCATAACACACACATACTGGACATGCCAACTACAACCTCGCTTCCCTCTGGGCTCGCCGCCCTAGGTCCGCTTCAAACACCACCCCTCTTCCTCAACGAGGATCCAACGATAGCGAAGAGAGATCCATGTCACAGAGCGAGATCCATGCCAACTGCACGTGATTTGCAATGCATGGTAGTAACTCACGAAGACCACCACAGGCAACACCCTCATCGTCCAACTTTCTCCCAACAGGCTGTTGCAATGCATGCCATCCTCCATCATTGGAATCTATGGACTGGTTCTCATAGTTGTCGAAAACCGGCCTAGAGTCGTCGCTTGTGTACGAGTACGGCTTTGCTTTTACACACAATAAGCTAGAAGACGAGGACATTTTCTACTTCAACCATGAGTTTCTTCAAAGCACGAGAATTTCCATAGCCAAACACAGGTTAGAGATCCTCAAGATTGCTAGAAAAGCAAAGGGTATGAACAGCGCTGGCACAATCAGGAGGACTAAGAGGTGTTTGACCGAGTACATAGGGACGTGGGTTCGCCGCGATCAGGACTCAACGGCGCTGGCACTCGTGACAAGGTCAAGCAATTGCAGGACAAGGTTTAGAGAAACCACCGCAACGTCGGAACTTTCGACAAGAATGACCCGACGATTGGCACGGGGCTCGTTGGCGTTCCAGCTTGTGGCGACGTGATGAAGCTCCAAATTAAGGTCGATGACAGCACAGGAAAGATTGATGATGCTTGCTTCAAGACCTTTGGGTGTGGATCGGCCATTGCTTCTTCTTCTGTCGCTACGGAATGGGTGAAGGGGAAACAAATGGAGGAAGTCTTGACGATTAAGAACACAGAGATTGCGAAACATCTTTTGTTTCCTCCAGTGAAGCTTCACTACAGCATGCTCGCCAAGGATGCCATTAAGGCAGCTGTTAAAGACTATCAAGCCAAGCAAACCAAAAAAAAAACTGGCAGTATAGAGGCATCTCCTGCGGAGAAGGCTGTCAATGCTTGATTCTTCTCTCATGTGAAATGATGATGAAATTTACAAAGAGCAAGACATAACTGATGGAGCCCACCGGCTGTTCTCATGAAAGGAAGGAGCAGTCACAGCCATGTGAAATCATTTTCTGAGAAAAGCAAAAAATGACCTTGGATGCACATGCAAAGCAGAGACAGAGACTAAAAGAGTGCGGTGCAAAAGAGAAAGCAAAGAGAAAGAGAAAAGAAAAGGCAGAAAGCAAAAGCAAGGAATAAATACCTCACCAGAATGATGAGATTTACTTTTCTTGTTTTTAATCGATGTAATTTATTTTTCTTATCTTTCGGAGACATCTGTAAAAACCCCATCAGAAGGTAATAAAAAAATAAAAAAAAATAAAAAAAAACTGCAAAGCCCAAAATAAATGGGCTGGAATGTTGTGTAGAGGGCGAAGGCCCATAAGCCCAAAATAACTCCAACCAGGTGATCAAAAGTACGCCCAGTACTCCAAAATTATTCGGCAACCTGCTGCTATTACCACCAACTAGGTGATGAATTGTACTACCCATACTCTCCTTCATGCCACCAACCAGGTGATCAAAAGTACGCCCAGTACTCCAAATTATACATGAGCATTACTCATGTCATTCATACATAAACATTCATGAGCATCACTCATGACAATAATACATAAACATTCATGACCATTATTCATGTCAACATTCATAAGCATCACTCATGTTAACATTCATGAGCATCACTCATGACAACATCCATGAGCATCACTCATGTCAATCAACATAAACATTCATGAGCATCACTCATGTCAATCAGCTTCAAAAGCTCAATTTACAAAAGCTCTAGCTTCAAAAGCTTCATTTACAAAAACTCTAGCTTCAAAAGCTTCATTTACAGAGCTCCAGCTTCAAAGCTTCACTTGTAAAGCTTCACTTACAAAGCTTCAATGCAGGGTATACAAATACCACCTCCGAACAACCGCCACTTCGACCCATACATGGATTCAATTTGAAGTCTCCAGCCAACAGACTCTATTGACCAAAGACTTGGGGGACTACATTATGTACCATATATTGAGCCTCAACTATGCCTCATGAAAATACTTGGGAGACTTAGCCCATTATCTATGTACTGAGGAGCGAGCCCTTATTCAATAAAAGGGACTCTCTCACTTTCATTAGAGAGCACTCATGAAAAATACTTGGGGAGACTTAGCCCATCACTTATGTATTGAGGAGCGAGCCCTTATTTTATAAAAGGGACTCCCTCACCTTCGTTAAAAAGCATCGCTGCCGGCTGACCAACCGCCTCGCCACGAGCATCACTCCTAACCCATTATTTATGTACTGAGGAACGAACCCTTATTTTATAAAAGGGACTCATTCACCTTCGTTAGAGAGCATCGCCGCCAACTGAGCAACCGCCTCCCCGCGAGCATCACTCCTAACCCATCATTCATGTATTGAGGAGTGAGCCCTTATTCTATAAAAGGGACTCCCTCACCTTCAAACGCCACAAAGCTGAGCCAACCAAGGCAACATAAGCCACCGGCCGAGCAGCCTCGCAGCGTGTGCTACTTCTAGTTGAGCATCATTTCAAATTGAGCACCACCTCATATCGAGCATCAGTTCAAGACAACATCTAGTTACTTCGACCCACACATGGACTAAATTTCAAGTCTCTAGCCAAAAGACTCTCTTGACTACTGTTTATACCATATTTAGGGCCTCGTATTTAGATTTCGTACAAATACTCGGGGGACTTAAATGTAATTATGTGATAAAGGAAGGGGCAAATATGTAATAAGTGAGGAGTCCTTATTCTATAAAAGGACCCCTCACCCTCACAATTGGAAAGAGGCCATTTCTTAAGCCCTCATCATCCTCTCAAAGCTCTCACTCTCATTCAAAGCTCTCTCTCCCTCAAAAATATAATCAGTGTGGACGTAGCCCAAACCTTGGGGTGAACCACAATACATCTTGTGTTATTTACATTTCTTGCAGATTCACGGTCGGATTTACTTTGTTCCAAGACCTCTGGTTTTGTGCATCAACATAATTGAATCCTTGAAATGCATATATATGTAATTTATGTATTCTTTTACTTCTATTTTTACATTTTATCATTCTTTTAATCCATACAAGTATAGTTTTTTTTAAGTGTAAATAGGCACTTATTTACAAGATATATAATAAATCTACATAAATTCGTCTAGGCCCTGCCTAGCCGCCCAGACACTTGACCCATACCCGCTGGCCGACTAGTGATTAGCATCTTTTAGAACCTTGAGGCTTACAATGAAACTATCCATGATGTTTGAAAAAGATATCGTTTCGACCTAAACTTGCAGTCACCATGTGGTGCTAAGTAGTCCGTGTTCCTGTCAATTTATAAAGTATTTCTTGCTCCTATCTATAAAGTAATAGGAGCATCAGATCTTCAAATCTTTATATATAATATCTCATGCCAATTTGAAAAGCACACGTTAGCAACAACAAATTTATTATTTTGGGGTATTTCAATATGGATCCAAAATAACTAAAAATTAGATCTATTTCAAAAGTCAAAAATTACTAAAAATTGGATCTATTTCAAATTTACTTTAACCATAATATAATCATCTGATTGTGAGCATTTTTGCCGTCCAAGTATGATATTGTTGCTTACCTAATTATAATAAGACTGATTTTCTACTATGGACCAGGTCGAAGTATAATCAACCATCACATGGCCGTATCTAATACTATTTGTCAGAACTCTGAATAGTTGACTCAAGATCATATTGGTTGGTGGTCTCCAAGTTCTTCATCACAACAAGTGTATTGATGTTCCCCGGCCTGTCCCTGGGGCTGTGATCGACATTGGTGATCTTCTAGAGACGAGAAAAATATTATTTTTTTATCTTCATTACTTCTTTATTTTCTTGAGAAATTTCAACGTTATGGAAAAAAGAAGGTTACAACTAGTCAAGAAAAAAAAATAAACCCTTGCTAAAGAAGAAAAAAGAAAAACATATGTAAAATGTTTAAACAATAATGCAACTGATTTTTAGGATAAACAGTTGTATTAAGCCATTGGGTTGTCTCTAGAATGTTGTTTTTTACTTATTGTAGTAAAACCACAAGAACAACTCGTGACTTTTGGTTTGTTTCTAATTTGTTACGACAACTACTGACATCTTAAGAAGAAATGCTAGCGTATTTGTACGTTATATGTCTAATATCCAATGTTGTGTCAAATTTAAAAAACAAAAAAAACCTATGACTTTGTGAAACATTTCTGTTCACAATGTTAGAATTTTTTTGAAAAACTTCGGTTGTTACTTTTCATAGAGTCAAATCTTCAATGCAAAACTAATAATTTGATATCTTTATTTTTTAAAGTTTCGAGTGAAAGTGGGGATGAGTTGAAGGAGCCCACGCCCTACAGGGGCCATGATAGACCTTGCAAAACTGGGCCATGATGAGCTAAAGCCTTGTGATACGAGTTCGGCCTTGCTAAATTCAACTTTCCAATACAGCCATCATATGATGTGATCGGCCCCACGCAAACTAAGGGGCAGGTGGAAAACGTCATATATATCTCGACCTTAAAAATTCTGAAAGCCATTCAGTCTACAAAGGATATACTCCTGGTCCCTGGAAACAAAACAAACAATGGAGGTCACGAGCTCCAAGTATGACAGGAAAACTGAATTAAAGGCTTTCGATGATTCAAAAGCTGGTGTCAAGGGACTTGTAGATGCTGGTTTGGCTAAAATCCCAAGAATTTTCATTCATGAGCAGAACAAGATCATCAACAACCACCACCCCATTGGCCATAGTCCCAGCTGTGATGACTCCAGTTTCAGCACCCCAGTCATAAGCTTAAAAGGCATCGTCAGCGGAGAAGAAGATGCAAGTCAACGCAGGCAGGTGATTGATCAAGTCCGGCATGCTTGCGAAAAGTGGGGGTTTTTCCAGGTGGTCGACCATGGGGTTCCAGTCCATGTTCTGGAGGAGATGATTGATGGGATAAGAAGATTTCATGAACAAGATCAAGTAGTGAAGGAGGAAATTTACTCACGCGACTATGCAAAGAAGGTTTATTATAATACAAACTTTGATCTTTACCAAGCTCCAGCTGCTAATTGGAGGGATACTTTGTCTTGTGTTATGGCTCCTCGAGCTCCCGATCTTGGTGAGTTGCCTTCAGTTTGCAGGTATGTATCTGTGAAAATTATTCGACGGTGATCAATTCCTGTGTTATTAATTTGAGATCCAAATTTACGCTATAGGACAAAACATGCTAGATTTTAATTAAAAATTAATCCTTATCAACCCGTGAAAAAAACTTTAGTTACCATTTTAATTTCTGCTTTTGCTACTGTATTACTTTCTTTTTAGATTTACTGTTTCTCGCATTACCTCGGTTCGTCTAACAATTTGTTCAGGCCAACTAACCGTTGTTGACGTTGATGGTAGAGCAAAAGCTAACAATTCATGGACATAGTTGTCGAAACGAGATAATGTGAAATTGTTGACTCCAAAAATTATAAAGCTTACGTGGAATGCAGGCCAAATAACTATTGAGTTAATTATGTCTTGCTAGTGAATGTGGGTGTGCCAACTAGTGAACGAGCTCAGTCAAACGAGTAGAATAGATGTGGTGATGGTGTCAAATGCCTTGCTAACTTCTGCACTTGAGCGAGTACGGTCAAGGAAGGAATACGTCTCGGCCTTAGATTCTAGAACGTGAAGACAAGGTTGCCTAAATCACAGCAAAGTTCTGACCTATTAGAATAATTCACAACTTACTAGAATTCATCCTGATCCTTGACAATTTTAATTCACTTAGGACTCGACCGAACCACGCCTAGGCTTGATACTCTAACAGTCCTACTCCTATAGGGGCGTCAAATTAGGACTCTCTTAGGCTAAAAGCCCACTGGCCTGCAATCATCCCCTTTTTAACTCGGATACTCATTGTCGACCCAAACTGTATTTCAAACCCAAACAGACACGCATAATGAAAGTTAAGGGAAAAAATGATAACCGTTGCAAAA